TCACCTGAACACACTTGTGGAATGTTCACCTGAACACACTTGTGTAGTGTTCACCTGAACACACTTGTGTAGTGTTCACCTGAACACACCTGTGGAATGTTCACCGGAACACACCTGTGGAATGTTCACCGGAACACACCTGTGGAATGTTCACCTGAACACACCTGTGGAATGTTCACCGGAACACACCTGTGGAATGTTCACCGGAACACACCTGTGGAATGTTCACCTGAACACACCTGTGGAATGTTCACCGGAACACACCTGTGGAATGTTCACCGGAACACACCTGTGGAATGTTCACCGGAACACACCTGTGGAATGTTCACCGGAACACACCTGTGGAATGTTCACCAGAACACACCTGTGGAATGTTCACCTGAACACACCTGTGGAATGTTCACCAGAACACACCTGTGGAATGTTCACCTGAACACACCTGTGGAATGTTCACCTGAACACACCTGTGGAATGTTCACCTGAACACACCTGTGGAATGTTCACCTGAACACACCTGTGGAATGTTCACCTGAACACACCTGTGGAATGTTCACCTGAACACACCTGTGGAATGTTCACCTGAACACACCTGTGGAATGTTCACCTGAACACACCTGTGGAATGTTCACCTGAACACACCTGTGGAATGTTCACCGGAACACACACACCTGTGTGTTCTGCGTGGGAGGGCGTGAGCGTGGGAGGGCGTGAGCGTGGGAGGGCGTGTGCGTGGCAGGGCGTGAGCGTGGGAGGGCGTGAGCGTGGCAGGGCGTGAGCGTGGCAGGGCGTGAGCGTGGCAGGGCGTGAGCGTGGCAGGGCGTGAGCGTGGCAGGGCGTGAGCGTGGCAGGGCGTGTGCGTGGCAGGGAACACCCACCGCATAGGTTCGAATCCTAATCACGGCTCCTACGGATTTTATTATTATTATCTTTCCCTGGGTCTGCACTTCCTACCATATCTTTCACTGCAGTATGTTGGTATTTTACTGTGCAATGTTAGGCACAGGGCCTGCCAGTATCGCACGTGTGACACACCTCTCTCGCCTCCTTTGCAAAGTCAAGAGCGATTTTGAGGGCTTTGAGACGGCCCCGGTAATTTAGATGCTCTATCGTATTCTCTAAATTCACTAAGCTAGACATCTCTTTGAAAGGGGAACTGAGTGCTGAGCAGTACTTGAAAGTACACAAGATTTAAATTGTATCAGTATTGTGGTGGACTCTCTGGATTTGAATGTGTCAACAATTTTTCTCATGTTCAAAAATGTTCGTCAGTTTAGCGGGTGATGATGCGTTTGGTTCATGTTCATAAGACGTTAGCTTGTCTGACAACATTAGTCCCAGATGCTGTTCGAGTTTTCCTTCTATTAGCTCGAACTGTGTCTTGTCTCCTGAATTCCGCTTGAGTTCTTCCGTGTTTGCGATGACTAAGTGTCTGGAGCCAGATTCACGAAAGCACTTACGCGAACACTTATGAACCGGAGTTAATGAGCTCCGAAGCACCAGGAGGCTGTTTATAACAATAACAACAGTTGATTGGCAAGTTTTCATGCTTGTAAACTGTTTAATAAATGTAACCAAAGCCGTCAAAGATTGAAGAAAAGATGTACACGTTCGTAAGTGTTTGCGTAAGTTCTTTCGTGAATCTGGCCCCTGGGAGTTACAACCTCACAATAATGTTATTTTCTGCTGGATAGATGAAGAATATTTATATTGGCCTGTAGTTTTTTTTTCACCGTCTTTCAAAGAAGTAAATTTGTATGCTGATTTTTATGTGAGACTGTTGGTCCATGGTACAGGTACCGTGAGACTGCTGGTCCATGGTACAGGTACCGTGAGACTGTTGGTCCATGGTACAGGTACCGTGAGGCTGTTGGTCCATGGTACAGGTACCGTGAGACTGCTGGCCCATGGTACAGGTACCGTGAGACTGTTGGTCCATGGTACAGGTAACGTGAGGCTGTTGGTCCATGGTACAGGTACCGTGAGACTGCTGGCCCATGGTACAGGTACCGTGAGACTGCTGGTCCATGGTATAGGTACCGTGAGACTGTTGGCCCATGGTACAGGTACCGTGAGACTGCTGGCCCATGGTACAGGTACCGTGAGACTGTTGGTCCATGGTACAGGTACCGTGAGACTGTTGGTCCATGGTACAGGTACCGTGAGACTGCTGGCCCATGGTACAGGTACCGTGAGACTGTTGGTCCATGGTACAGGTACCGTGAGACTGCTGGCCCATGGTACAGGTACCGTGAGACTGTTGGTCCATGGTACAGGTACCGTGAGGCTGTTGGTCCATGGTACAGGTACGGTAAGACTGTTGGTCCATGGTACAGGTACCGTGAGACTGCTGGCCCATGGTATAGGTACCGTGAGACTGCTGGCCCATGGCCCAGGTACCGTGAGGCTGCTGGTCCATGGTACAGGTACCGTGAGGCTGCTGGTCCATGGTACAGGTACCGTGAGGCTGCTGGTCCATTGTACAGGTACCGTGAGGCTGTTGGTCCATGGTACAGGTACCGTGAGACTGTTGGTCCATGGTACAGGTACCGTGAGACTGTTGGTCCATGGTACAGGTACCGTGAGACTGCTGGCCCATGGTACAGGTACCGTGAGACTGTTGGTCCATGGTACAGGTACCGTGAGGCTGTTGGTCCATGGTACAGGTACGGTAAGACTGTTGGTCCATGGTACAGGTACCGTGAGACTGCTGGCCCATGGTATAGGTACCGTGAGACTGCTGGCCCATGGTCCAGGTACCGTGAGGCTGCTGGTCCATGGTACAGGTACCGTGAGGCTGCTGGTCCATGGTACAGGTACCGTGAGGCTGTTGGTCCATGGTACAGGTACCGTGAGACTGTTGGTCCATGGTACAGGTACCGTGAGACTGTTGGTCCATGGTACAGGTACCGTGAGACTGTTGGTACATGGTACAGGTACCGTGAGACTGTTGGTACATGGTACAGGTACCGTAAGACTGTTGGTCCATGGTACAGGTACCGTGGGACTGTTGGTCCATGGTACAGGTACCGTGAGACTGTTGGTCCATGGTACAGGTACCGTGAGACTGCTGGCCCATGGTACAGGTACCGTGAGACTGCTGGCCCATGGTACAGGTACCGTGAGACTGTTGGTCCATGGTACAGGTACCGTGAGACTATTGGTCCATGGTACAGGTACCGTGAGACTGCTGGCCCATGGTCCAGGTACCGTGAGACTGTTGGTCCATGGTACAGGTACCGTGAGACTGTTGGTACATGGTACAGGTACCGTAAGACTGTTGGTCCATGGTACAGGTACCGTGAGACTGTTGGTCCATGGTACAGGTACCGTGAGGCTGCTGGTCCATGGTACAGGTACCGTGAGACTGCTGGTCCATGGTACAGGTACCGTGAGACTGCTGGTCCATGGTACAGGTACCGTGAGACTGCTGGTCCATGGTGCAGGTACCGTGAGGCTGCTGGTCCATGGTACAGGTACCGTGAGACTGCTGGCCCATGGTACAGGTACCGTGAGACTGTTGGTCCATGGTACAGGTACCGTGAGACTGCTGGTACATGGTACAGGTACCGTGTGACTGTTGGTTCATGGTACAGGTACCGTGTGACTGTTGGTCCATGGTACAGGTACCGTGAGACTGTTGGTCCATGGTACAGGTACCGTGAGACTGCTGGTCCATGGTCCAGGTACCGTGAGACTGTTGGTCCATGGTACAGGTACCGTGAGACTGCTGGCCCATGGTACAGGTACCGTGAGACTGCTGGTACATGGTACAGGTACCGTGAGACTGCTGGTCCATGGTACAGGTACCGTGAGACTGCTGGTACATGGTACAGGTACCGTGAGACTGTTGGTCCATGGAACAGGTACCGTGAGACTGCTGGTACATGGTACAGGTACCGTGAGACTGCTGGCCCATGGTCCAGGTACCGTGAGACTGTTGGTCCATGGTACAGGTACCGTGAGACTGCTGGTACATGGTACAGGTACCGTGAGACTGCTGGTCCATGGTACAGGTACCGTGAGACTGCTGGTCCATGGTACAGGTACCGTGAGACTGCTGGTCCATGGTACAGGTACCGTGAGACTGCTGGTACATGGTATAGGTACCGTGAGACTGCTGGCCCATGGTATAGGTACCGTGAGACTGCTGGCCCATGGTATAGGTACCGTGAGACTGCTGGCCCATGGTATAGGTACCGTGAGACTGCTGGTCCATGGTACAGGTACCGTGAGACTGCTGGTCCATGGTACAGGTACCGTGAGACTGCTGGTCCAGAGGTTATCTTGAGATGATTTCGGGGCTTTAGTGTCCCCGTGACCCGGTCCTCGACCAGGCCTCCACCCCCCAGGAAGCAGCCCGTGACAGCTGACTAACTCCCAGGTACCTATTTACTGCTAGGTAACAGGGGCATCAGGGTGAAAGAAACTCGGCCCATTGTTTCTCGCCGGCGCCCGGGATCGAACCCAGGATCACGCGTCCAGTGTTCTATCCTCTCTATCCACCGGCTGTCACAATTTTTGTTTGTTTAACTATCCCCTGATACAACTACCCCACATGTTCAGAAAACGTAAACCCGATCCCTTCACTCACATGGTATTTAGCAAATAACATGGTAGAGAATCCGTAGGGGCCGTGATGAGGGTTCGAACAAAGGTCACCACATGGTCAACCATGTTGTGGCCTAGTCTAGAGCGTGTCTGGGAACACCCAGCGAATAGGTTCGAACCCTCATCACGGCGCCTACGGATTTTCTCACTGATGCAGTCGCGTTAGTGCGATTAATCTGTGTGTAAATAACATGGTGCTATAATTGTGGCGGGAATAGTTGAAAAGACTAGTGTGTTAGGAGACTGGAGGAGACGTGTAGGGAGTAAGTACAGTACACAAGTCGAGGTAGTACAGTTACTCTACAGTACAGTACACAAGCCGAGGTAGTACAGTTACTCTACAGTACAGTACCGTCGGCAACAACACAGGAAATGTTTTAGGCAGCACTTACCGTCCGGTGTCTGTGAGGAGGCGTTGCCAGACCTGGCGCCCCCGGCCAGGCCCGGCACCCCAGCCTTCTCCAGGCGGTCCACAGCCGTCTCCAGCCGGGCCACTAGCGCTGCCAACTCTCCTGCCATGATGCTCACCAACTCTGTCAACAAAACATAACACCATTATAAACAAACTCTTAACAATAAGCTATTATTAATACACCTCACCTGTTATTATTACAAAAACCCGTGTAGTACATATTTACTTATTAAGCGAGTGATTACTACAGTGTATCAGGAATACCTTGAGCACCATGGGAGGGGCTCACATAACACTGGGCCCCACCAGCGGCACCACACACCAACCTTGAGCACCATGGGAGGGGCTCACATAACACTGGGCCCCACCAGCGGCACCACACACCAACCTTGAGCACCATGGGAGGGGCTCACATAACACTGGGCCCCACCAGCGGCACCACACACCAACCCAAAACCCAATAACGGTACCCACGTGAACACGTTCAAGGTTGAGAGGTGGGACCTGGATGTACCTGGATTGTACCTGGATAAGGTTCTGGAAGTTCTTCTACTCACCAAGCCCAGGTGAGAGAGCTACAGCTCAACCCCCCTTCAAGCTCAATCAGTTGAGAACAATTAACTTGTGTTTCCACTCTGATCGTCCTGCTTCCACTCGCAAAAAGTGGAGACTCCAAGCCAGTTAACGCTGACTATATAATAGTTAGGGGTGAAATCTGTCACTATTACATCAGTTTCTTTGGTGAGCTACAACTTGGTGAGTAGGTAGTACTATACTAATCTTCCCCGTTACACACGCTACAACGTCACTATACATCTCAACCAGCGGCTTATAAATATAACAGTAGGTATGGTCACATTTGCACGATGTCGCCCCCTCCCTGTCACGCCCACCCACGCCCACTCAGTACGTAATCGATCAGGTTCCTGCTCCAATTCCGTTACTTAAATTCGGGTATGATCGGGTTCCTGTGAATATTTCTTAATTTTGACTTCAGGTCTCGTATGTTGGCAAATATAAAGCATTTTCCTTATTGTGTGATGCTTCTGGCATGTCCAGAGAGTTCTCCTCCCTCTCCCACGTGACTCTCTCCCACGTGACTCTCTCCCACGTGACTCTCTCCCACGTGACCCTCTCCCACGTGACCCTCTCCCACGTGACTCTCTCCCACGTGACTCTCTCCCACGTGACTCTCTCCCACGTGACTCTCTCCCACGTGACTCTCTCCCACGTGACCCTCTCCCACGTGACTCTCTCCCACGTGACTCTCTCCCACGTGACTCTCTCCCACGTGTATATAGTTTTGGCAAACATTCGTCGGATGTTGGTGGTAGACGTGAGCACTTGATGACTTTGGAGTCCAATCGCGTATCTTTCTTCAACACCTTTGTACTCTCGCAAATGTTCCTGTCTGCGTGTTCCCTATTCACATATTATACTGTTCCTGTCTGCGTGTTCCCTATTCACATATTATACTGTTCCTGTCTGCGTGTTCCCTATTCACATATTATACTGTTCCTGTCTGCGTGTTCCCCGTTCACATGTTCTACTGTTCCTGTCTGCGTGTTCCCTATTCACATGTTCTACTGTTCCTGTTTGCGTGTTCCCCGTTCACATGTTCTACTGTTCCTGTCTGCGTGTTCCCCGTTCACATGTTCTACTGTTCCTGTCTGCGTGTTCCCTATTCACATGTTCTACTGTTCCTGTTTGCGTGTTCCCCGTTCACATGTTCTACTGTTCCTGTCTGCGTGTTCCCCGTTCACATGTTCTACTGTTCCTGTCTGCGTGTTCCCCGTTCACATGTTCTACTGTTCCTGTTTGCGTGTTCCCCGTTCACATGTTCTACTGTTCCTGTCTGCGTGTTCCCCGTTCACATGTTCTACTGTTCCTGTCTGCGTGTTCCCCGTTCACATGTTCTACTGTTCCTGTTTGCGTGTTCCCCGTTCACATGTTCTACTGTTCCTGTCTGCGTGTTCCCCGTTCACATGTTCTACTGTTCCTGTCTGCGTGTTCCCCGTTCACATGTTCTACTGTTCCTGTCTGCGTGTTCCCCGTTCACATGTTCTACTGTTCCTGTCTGCCTCTGCAAGACGTTTGTTAACACCATATTGGTCGTCCTCTGGGCTGTGCCCCTCACGTGGGACTGTAGGCATTTGTGAGCATATTTCCAACAACATTTAGAGTTGACATAACTTCGGGTGGAAAAAATTGAATGTGTGTATTCACCTACTTGTGCGTGCGGGGGTTGAGCTCAGCTCTGTGGGTCCGCCTCTCAACTGTCAATCAATCAACTGTTACTAAATACTATTTTATTTATATATATATATATATATATATATATATATATATATATATAGAGAGAGAGAGAGAGCGGAGAGAGAGAGAGAGAGAGAGAGAGAGAGAGAGAGAGAGAGAGAGAGAGAGAGAGAGAGAGAGAGAGAGAGAGAGAGAGAGAGAGAGAGAGAGAGAGAGAGAGAGAGAGAGAGAGAGAGAGAGAGAGAGAGAGAGAGAGAGAGAGAGAGAGAGAGAGAGAGAGAGAGAGAGAGAGAGAGAGAGAGAGGAGAGAGAGAGAGAGCAAGAGAGGAGAGAGAGAGAGAGAGAGAGAGAGAGAGAGAGAGAGAGAGAGAGAGAGAGAGAGAGAGAGAGGAGAGAGAGAGAGAGGAGAGAGAGAGGAGAGAGAGAGAGAGGAGAGAGAGAGAGAGGAGAGAGAGAGAGAGGAGAGAGAGAGAGAGCAGAGACAGACAAATAGGGGGGGGAGGGGAGACATATATAGACAGAGAGGGAGACAAAAAAAGACAGAGGGAGACAGAGAAGGTACATCCCTTGTGGATGTGTTCAAGAAAAGGTAAACATTGTAGAGAAATAAAGTCGGGAGTCGCTGCATTGGGCAACAACCAACGATAAAAAAAGACGGGGTACAAGAGCTAAGAGCTCGATTCAACAGGCACAAATAGGTGAATACACAAACACTTAGGAAAATAGAGTTACCCAATCAGGTTTAAAGCTAATAATACATTCCCAGAGTGGCGGGAGAGGGCGCCCAAGACAGGGACGCCCAAGACAGGGACGCCCGCGCCGCCCACATAAACTCTCACTGAACCAGACAAAACAAACGCCACATTACTGGAGATGGAGGCTAATTGCCCGCTCCCAAAATTAAATGTAAATGAGCTACCTGGCGCTGATGATAATGCTCTTACTCGGGGTCAGGAGGAGGAGGAGGAAGAGAAAGTATAAGGTAGAGAACAGTGATGAGGGAGGAAGAGGGCGAGGGGCACAAGCACACCATCCAGTATAAATCTTGGGAGCAAGTTGCCACCTTTTGGGTGGCTTAATCTTCAATCAATCAATCAGCGGCCGAAAGCGTAAGAGGGCAAGAGGACGGGCGAGACAGGAAGGGAGCAAGAGGATAAAAGGCAGAGCAAGAGGGCAGGAGAACGGGCAACACGGAAAAACAACTGAGCGAAGGTGTAAAAGCTGGAGAGTTCTTAAGGAAAGCGAGGTCCCTCTACTCCCACCCCCTCAACCAAGGCTCTAGGCAGCCTCACACACGCGCGCTAACTGACATGTCCAGGCGACCTCCAGGGACCTGGCTGATACCCGCCTGGCTGGACCGAAGACTGCTTATATACAACACCCGCAAGATAGGTGCCCCCAAGACCTTCACCGGTATAACACCCGCAAGATAAGTGCTCCAACACCTTCCCTGGTATAACACCCGCAAGATAGGTGCTCCAACACCTTCACCAGTATAACACCCGCAAGATAAGTGCTCCAACACCTTCCCTGGTATAACACCCGCAAGATAGGTGCCCCAACACCTTCACTGGTATAACACCCGCAAGATAGGTGCCCAACACCTTCACTGGTATAACACCCGCAAGATAGGTGTCCCAACACCTTCCCTGGTATAACACCCGCAAGATAGGTGCCCAACACCTTCACTGGTATAACACCCGCAAGATAGGTGCCCAACACCTTCACTGGTATAACACCCGCAAGATAGGTGCCCAACACCTTCACTGGTATAACACCTGCAAGATAGGTGCCCAACACCTTCACTGGTATAACACCCGCAAGATAGGTGCCCAACACCTTCACCGGTATAACACCCGCAACATAGGTGCCCCAACACCTTCCCTGGTATAACACCCGCAAGATAGGTGCCCCAACACCTTCACCGGTATAACACCCGCAAGATAGGTGCCCCAACACCTTCCCTGGTATAACACCCGCAAGATAGGTGCCCCAACACCTTCACCGGTATAACACCCGCAAGATAGGTGCCCCAACACCTTCACCAGTATAACACCCGCAAGATAGGTGCCCAACACCTTCACCGGTAGATGCCAGCGCCTTTACAAGATGCAGTCAAGCTTTACATAAGGGGCTGAAATAAATTATATCAGGTGAACGCAAGCTCAACCTGCATCCTCTAAAGGCGCTAGCATTTACCGGTGCTCGTGGACTTATCTTGCGGATATTATACATAAGCTCTCTTCGGTCCCCGATAAGACTGTCCAGTACCCGATTTGTCTTACACAGAGAATTAACAACTTAAAGAGCTGATACAGAATGAAGTTATGAGGAATATTCTTGGATGGCAAAGATATATGCAATGACTGAAATGATGAACGTAGTCACATTTACAGTGTATCATGGAGTCCGTGATATTAACACTAGTGTATCTTCGCTTCATGAGGAGAGGAGCAGGGGATGAACTCACAGTGTTCAGACTTGCTGGAGTGACGTACACTTCCAGCCACACGGAGACTTCCAGCACACGGAGACTTCCAGCGCATGGAGACTTCCAGCGCATGGAGACTTCCAGCCACACGGAGACTTCCAGCACTCGGAGACTTCCAGCCACACGGACACTTCCAGCACACGGAGACTTCCAGTGTAACATGCATGACCCCCCCCCCCCTTCCTTAGAGTTCACACCCAGGGAAGCCTTCTCAAAGAGGTCAGCCCAGATGACCTCCGGATTATCTTGTATGTTGATTAAAAAATTCCTGGGTTAGTCTTAGTCAACTAGTTTCAAGGATGTAATATTTCATGATACTCTTGTCAAACATTGCAATGGAATTAGACCCAGATTCTTATGTGTAAACATCCATG